TACTCACGATTCTGACCGAATGAACGACCACCCCATAAACAAATAGGTTCTCATGGTTCTGACCGAATGAACGACCATCCCATAAACAAATAGGTTCTCATGGTTCTGACCGAATGAACGACCATCCCATAAACAAATAGGATCTCACGATTCTGACCGAATGAACGACCATCCCATAAACAAATAGGTTCTCACGATTCTGACCGAATGAACGACCACCCCATAAACAATAGGTGCTCACGGTTCTGACCGAATGAACGACCATCCCATAAACAAATAGGATCTCACGGTTCTGACCGAATGAACGACCATCCCATAAACAAATAGGATCTCACGATTCTGACCGAATGAACGACCACCCCATAAACAAATAGGATCTCACGGTTCTGACCGAATGAACGACCACCCCATAAACAAAAAGGTTCTCATGGTTCTGACCGAATGAACGACCACCCCATAAACAAATAGGATCTCACGATTCTGACCGAATGAACGACCACCCCATAACAAATAGGTTCTCATGGTTCTGACCGAATGAACGACCACCCCATAAACAAATAGGATCTCACGATTCTGACCGAATGAACGACCACCCCATAAACAATAGGTTCTCACGATTCTGACCGAATGAACGACCACCCCCTAAACAATAGGATCTCACGATTCTGACCGAATGAACGACCACCCCATACACAAATAGGTTTCTCACGATTCTGACCGAATGAACGACCACCCCATAAACAATAGGTGCACTGGTTGTACTGTACACGTCTATGCCCCCCGGCCTTCACAAACTCCGCATTGCCGAGCGTGAAGTTTGGCGAACAACAACCTCCACGTCCCACACGGAGCGAGGCTCACTAAAGGGCTGCAACTGTACTGCTGCAGCACTTAAGACCGTAACGCACTGCACAGTACAAGATTGACACTGTACAGTACTGTACTGCAGTACACGTGACAGGTCGTACTTTTCCAGCCGCGCTGTGAAGCGTGGCCGCTCCACCTTGTGCGGCTGCTGCTGCTTCTCCCGCTGGCCGCCGCCGCTGTTGTTGTTGCCGCTGTTGTTGCCGCTGTTGTTGTTGTTGTTGCTGCTGTTGTTGTTGTTGCTGCACGGGGGCCCCAAGCTGCTCTTCGCTACAAACCCCGCCGCTCCATCTCCCTCCACCTCCTCACGTGGCCATGGCGACGCCCTGCGCGTGACGTCACTTCCGGAAGCCCCCCCCCCCCGCTCCTGTTCACCCCCCCCCTCCACAACCAGCGACCTGCTGAGGGGGTCGCGAGGGGGAGGGACCCAGACAAGGGGCGGGGCTAATGCACGGGGGGGGAGGGGTCACGGTAGGGGGAGGGACTAAGGCGAGCTGTCAATCACCGGCCTCGTGTGGTTATTGTCACAGTCACGCGCACGCCAACACAGAGCTTAGGGGGCCGTCCATAAATGACGTCACGCCATTTTGGACGATTTTTAAATCCTTTATATTAAGTTCGCTCGCTTGCTTGCGTGCTTGCTTGCTTGCTTAGGACCGTGCAAATCTTTCGGTCGTTTTTAACCCACTTCCCGTGATCCAATCGAGCTGACACAGACTCGTTGTGCGAGACAATTAATGTTCGTGAAATTTTTTTTCCAAAATTTTACACTTTTTAGGCAAAAAAAATTTAATTTACATTTATTCAAATAGAACTCATTCATGGCTTTGGCTGAACGTCAGAGTGTAAGAGCCCAGAACGTGACACCTCCCACAGGCCGTGGCGGAGTAGCGCAGTTGGTAGTGCCCTCGCTTCCCATGCCAAAGGTCGCGGGATCGATCCCCGCGTCCTCCAAAGGCGAATATATTTTTAAATCCTTTATATTAAGTTCGCTTGCTTGCTTAGGACCGTGCAAATCTTTCGGTCGTTTTTTAACCCACTTCCCGTGATCCAATCGAGCTGACATTTTCCACAAAGACTCGTTGTGCGTGATAATTAATGTTCGTGAAATTTTTTTTCAAAAATTTTACACTTTTTGGGACAAAAATATATATTTAATTACCAATTGCTTAATGGTGCAATGCAATCATCTGACCCATAGGTGGCAGCCATCTCAAGCCAGAGGACGAGAGGACTCTAGCCGCCACGCATATAAAGGATTTATAGTGAAAAACTTTGTTTTTACGGGTTATACTTGTTAACACCCCCCCCCCCTCTCGTCACACGGCGTCACAAAAAGTCAGACCCCCCCTCAAATATGACGTCACAAAGCTCTGCCCCCCCCAAAAAAATAAAAAAATGCTTCAAATCTCGTTAAACTATTGTCATTGTAGTGCGTATTTAATGTGGCGCTGCACTCTGATGTTTGTAGTAGAAAACATTTATTAAAAAGTCAATTTAATTAAGAAGACGTGTTGTCTATATTTATTTAAAGTTGCGCATTTGATGTGACGTCACATTCTCCAACCCCCCCCCCCAGGTGCGTGACGTCATTTATGGACAGCCCTTTAATTCCCGGCCAGATGCGACACGCATCTCAACGAGACCTCTTCACCTGTGAAACCTACTACTACTATTATTATCTGAGTATCCGCGAGTGGCCCACCTCTTGTTCCCCCACCACTCCCACCCCCACCACTCCCCCCCCACTACTCACCCCCACCACTCCCCCCCACCACTAACCCCAAAACCCTCCCCCCAAGACTCACCCCACCCCTCCCCCGACCCCTCCCCCCACCGCCCCCACCACTCCACCCTACCACTCCCCCCCACCACTCACCCCCACCACTCACCTCCACCACTCACCCCCACCACTCCCCCCACCCCTCCCCCCCCACCTACTCACCCCCACCATCCCCCCCACCACGACCCCCCACCACTCACCCCCACCCCTCCCCCCACCACTTCCCCCCCACCCCTCCCCCCACCGCCCCCACCACTCCACCCTACCACTCCCCCCCACCACTCACCCCCACCACTCACCTCCACCACTCACCCCCACCACTCCCCCCCACCCCTCCCCCCCACTACTCACCCCCACCAATCCCCCCCACCACTACCCCCCACCACTCACCCCCACTACTCACCCCCACCAATCCCCCCCACCACTACCCCCCACCACTCACCCCCACTACTCACCCCCACCAATCCCCCCCACCCCACCCCCACCCCCCACCCTCCCCCCACCACTCCCCCCCACCCTCCCCCCACCGCCCCCACCACCTCCACCCTACCACTCCCCCCCAACACTCACCCCCACCACTCACCTCCACCACTCACCCCACCACTCCCCCTCACCCCTCCCCCCACTACTCACCCCCCACCAATCCCCCCCACCACTACCCCCCACCACTCACCCCCCCCCCTCCCCCCACCACCCCTCGCCCCCAACACTCCCACTACTCCCCCCCACCCCTCCCCATCCACCCCCACCCCTCCCCCCCCACCTCCCCCCACCCCCCCCCACCACTCCCCCCACCCCCCCCCCCACCCCCCTCGCCCCCAACACTCCCATTACTCCCCCCCCCCCCACCCTTCCCCCCACCATTCACCCCACCCCCCCACCCCTCCCCCCACCACCCCTCGCCCCCAACACTCTCACCACTCCCCCCCCCCACCCTCCCCCCACCACTCCCCCCACCCCTCCCCCACCACCCCTCGCCCCCAACACTCTCACCCCCCCCCACCCCTCCCCCCCCCACCATTCACCCCCACCCCCCCTCCCCCCACCACTCCCCCCCCCCCTCCCCCCACCACCCCCCCCCCCTCGCCCCCAACACTCTCACCACTCCCCCCCACCCCTCCCCCCACCACTCCCCCCCCCCACCCCTCCCCCACCACCACCCCTCGCCCCCAACACTCTCACCACTCCCCCCCACCCCTCCCCCCACCATTCACCCCCACCCCTCCCCCCAAGACTCACCCCACCCCTCCCCCCCCCCTCCCCCCACCGCCCCCACCACTCCACCCTACCACTCCCCCCCACCACTCACCCCCACCACTCACCTCCACCACTCACCCCCCCACTCCCCCCCACCCCTCCCCCCACTACTCACCCCCACCAATCCCCCCCACCACGACCCCCCACCACTCATCCCCACCCCTCCCCCCACCACTCCACCCACCCCCTCCCCCCACCGCCCCCACCACTCCACCCTACCACTCCCCCCCACCACTCACCCCCCCACTCACCTCCACCACTCACCCCCACCACTCCCCCCCACCCCTCCCCCCCACTACTCACCCCCACCAATCCCCCCCACCACTACCCCCCACCACTCACCCCCACTACTCACCCCCACCAATCCCCCCCACCACTCACCCCCACCCCTCCCCCCACCACTCCCCCCACCCCTCCCCCCACCGCCCCCACCACTCCACCCTACCACTCCCCCCCCCACCACTCACCCCCCACCACCACTCACCTCCACCACTCACCCCCACTACTCCCCACCCCCCCCACCCCTCCCCCCACTACTCACCCCCACCAATCCCCCCCACCACTACCCCCCACCACTCACCCCCCCCCCCCCACCACTCCCCCCCCCCACCCCTCCCCCCACCACCCCTCGCCCCAACACTCCCACTACTCCCCCCACCCCTCCCTCCACCATTCACCCCCACTCCTCCCCCCACCACTCCCCCCTCCCCCCACCACCCCTCGCCCCCAACACTCCCATTACTCCCCCCCACCCCTCCCCCACCATTCACCCCCACCCCTCCCCCCAACACTCCCACCGCCAAACCACCCCTCCCCCCTAACACTCACCCCCACCCCTCCCCCCCACCACTCCCCCACCCCCACCCCTCCCCCCACCGCCACCACCACCCCCCCACTCCCCCCCACCACTCCCCCCCACCACACCTCCACCACCCCCCCCATCACTCACCCCCACCACTCACCCCTACCCATCCCCCCCACCACTCCCCACCACCCCCCCCCCCACCACTCACCCCCCACCCCTCCCCCCCACCCCCTCCACCACCCCTCCCCCCCACCCCCCACCACCCCTCCCCACCACCCCCCCACCACCCCCATGCGCGTCTCGTGTAGAGGCCACGGCACTGATTGCGCCCAGCCGTGCAGAGCGCGGCCCCTGCCCCCCCTGCCCCCCACCCTGCACCACCATGAGGCCGGTGTAGCAAACATGCGGCGCGGCGTGCGCGCGGCGACACCCGCCTTGCTCTCTCCACTGCTGCAGCTGTCGCTCGCAGCAGCCGCGGTGGTGGTCGCGGTGGTCGCGGTGTCCGCGGTTGGGGCCTCGGAGCGATGTCCTCGCGCTGCCGCGGAGGGTGGCTCCTCGCCGGCGGCGAATCTATCCGAGCGGCGGGCAGCGCGCGGGACGCCGCGGAGACGACGGTAACAGTGGTCACTCTGTGTGGTGGTGGTGGTGGTCACTCTGTGTAGTGGTGGTGGTGGTCACTCTGTGTAGTGGTGGTGGTGGTCACTCTGTGTAGTGGTGGTGGTCACTCTGTGTAGTGGTGGTGGTCACTCTATGTAGTGGTGGTGGTCACTCTGTGTAGTGGTGGTGGTCACTCTGTGTAGTGGTGGTGGTGGTCACTCTGTGTAGTGGTGGTGGTGGTGGTCACTCTGTGTAGTGGTGGTGGTCACTCTGTGGTGGTGGTGGTGGTCACTCTGTGTAGTGGTGGTGGTGGTCACTCTGTGTAGTGGTGGTGGTGGTCACTCTGTGTAGTGGTGGTGGTGGTCACTCTGTGTAGTGGTGGTGGTCACTGTGTGGTGGTGTGGTGGTGGTCACTCTGTGTGGTGGTGGTCACTCTGTGTAGTGGTGGTGGTGGTCACTCTGTGTAGTGGTGGTGGTGGTGGTCACTCTGTGTGGTGGTGGTGGTCACTCTGTGTAGTGGTGGTGGTCACTCTGTGTAGTGGTGGTGGTGGTGGTGGTCACTCTGTGTGGTGGTGATGGTGGTGGTCACTCTGTGTAGTGGTGGTGGTCAGTGTGGTGGTGTGGTGGTGGTCACTCTGTGTAGTGGTGGTGGTCACTCTGGTGGTGGTGGTGGTGGTGTAGTGGTGGTGGTCACTCTGTGTAGTGGTGGTGGTCACTCTGTGTAGTGGTGGTGGTGGTCACTCTGTGTAGTGGTGGTGGTGGTCACTCTGTGTAGTGGTGGTGGTGGTCACTCTGTGTGGTGGTGGTGGTCACTCTGTGTGGTGGTCACTCTGTGTGGTGGTCACTCTGTGTAGTGGTGGTGGTGGTCACTCTGTGTAGTGGTGGTGGTGGTCACTCTGGTGGTGGTGGTGGTGGTCACTCTGTGTAGTGGTGGTCACTCTGTGTGGTGGTATTGGTCACTCTGTGTGGTGGTCACTCTGTGTGGTGGTGGTCACTCTGTGTGGTGGTGGTCACTCTGTGTAGTGGTGGTGGTCACTCTGTGTAGTGGTGGTGGTCACTCTGTGTGGTGGTGGTCACTCTGTGTGGTGGTGGTCACTCTGTGTAGTGGTGGTGCCATGGTGGTGGTCACTCTGTGTAGTGGTGGTGGTCACTCTGTGTGGTGGTGGTCACTCTGTGTGGTGGTGGTCACTCTGTGTGGTGGTCACTCTGTGTGGTGGTGGTCACTCTGTGTGGTGGTGGTCACTCTGTGTGGTGGTGGTCACTCTGTGTGGTGGTGGTCACTCTGTGTAGTGGTGGTGGTGGTGGTGACTCTGTGTAGTAGTGGTGGTGGTCACTCTGTGTAGTGGTGGTGGTCAATCTGTGTGGTGGTGGTCACTCTGTGTGGTGGTGGTCACTCTGTGTGGTGGTCACTCTGTGTGGTGGTCACTCTGTGTAGTGGTGGTGGTGGTCACTCTGTGTAGTGGTGGTGGTGGTCACTCTGGTGGTGGTGGTGGTCACTCTGTGTAGTGGTGGTCACTCTGTGTGGTGGTATTGGTCACTCTGTGTGGTGGTCACTCTGTGTGGTGGTGGTCACTCTGTGTGGTGGTGGTCACTCTGTGTAGTGGTGGTGGTCACTCTGTGTAGTGGTGGTGGTCACTCTGTGTGGTGGTGGTCACTCTGTGTGGTGGTGGTCACTCTGTGTAGTGGTGGTGCCATGGTGGTGGTCACTCTGTGTAGTGGTGGTGGTCACTCTGTGTGGTGGTGGTCACTCTGTGTGGTGGTGGTCACTCTGTGTGGTGGTCACTCTGTGTGGTGGTGGTCACTCTGTGTGGTGGTGGTCACTCTGTGTGGTGGTGGTCACTCTGTGTGGTGGTGGTCACTCTGTGTAGTGGTGGTGGTGGTGGTGACTCTGTGTAGTAGTGGTGGTGGTCACTCTGTGTAGTGGTGGTGGTCAATCTGTGTGGTGGTGGTCACTCTGTGTGGTGGTGGTCACTCTGTGTAGTAGTGGTGGTTACTCTGTGTGGAGTCATCGCAGTGCTGGCATAGTGTTCAGGTGTGGTTGTGTTTAATCGGGTTAGGTGAGAACTCTAACAGAGACTCATTTGCAAGAGCGACCTGGGGACATGAATGTGCCGCTAGCGGGCGCCGATTGCTGCTATGGGTGTAGAATCCCAAATTGAGAAGCTTGCGTTGAAATTTTGCAATTTGGCAAACGCGTACCCCGGCACACAGTGGCCAACTCTTGCGAATTCCGTCACGGGGTCGGTCTTTTAACGTCAGCTGTGGAGCAGACTGCACGAGGTACGATCGAGGAATGAATGACCAGGGCGGCCGTTGGAGTTGAACCGTAAACAAGACGCGGATGCTCAACAAACTACGTTGCCACCCCGGGTTTTAACGGCACATTGATATAATTACGCGATCTAACCCAGAAAACCTCTATTATGGATGATGTTGGTCGGGAAAGCCTACCTGATGTTAAACTGACTTTACTAAGCACCTTTGGTATGCAGTGGTTATTGATAATTACCACGAACCTGTGTCATTCGCTTATTACTACACATGGAGTTAATATTCTGACAAAAAGCCAGGAATTAAAGTCAATATCGTCAGAAATCTAAGCAGGCTCTGAGCCTGCTTAGCGCTTCGATGGGTGACCACCAGGTACAAACGGGATGATATTGGCTTGCAGGGGTGTCCCGTGGTGTGTGATGTCGATGTCTGGAGCGGATTTAGTCCTGTATAGATAGTGGGCGTGTGTCCACGCAGCATTCTTGCCAATGTGCTTGAACTTTCACGGATACCTTTATGGTTGTTTTAATGGTTCAGTCTAAATTCACTCATTGCTGCAATTAACACTGCCTCTTTGTCCGTCTAGGTGTGACAGCCAGCAGAGCTGGTGGAACCCCTACTGGATGCTTCCTGAAGACATGAGTGGGGCTGATTGTTTCTGGGAATCGGCAAAAAGGTGGCCCAACTGATTGACAATAGAGGCACTCGCACTGCAAACCACACAACTGCATTTTTATTACACGCTTTTATTTAACTCACTCCGTCTGTTGTCGTATCCTTAAAAACACTTGTAACTCAATTTTTACTCACTTCCCAATGTGTTATCGACTGAAAACTTGGTATACTTATGTCGTACTGATAACAAGACTATATTCTATCATTAAACGTTAAAAATATATATTTTAAACATTTTACACTCTTTTATTTAACTCAGTCTGTTGTCGTATCATCAAATCTTGGAACTCAATTTCAACCATCTTCCCATTGTCGTATCGACTGCAAAATTGGTATAGGTATGTCATACTGATGACAATACTATTTTCTATCATTAAAAATAAAAAATATATATTTTTAAACAATCTTTTTTACGGGTCTAATTGTCCACGCTCAACTCACGTTGCCTGTAAATCACCACGGCCCCTTACGCTGTGGCAAGCTGCGGGGCCACTTCCAGGAGTCGTGTAGTTCTGCCATTACGAGTACGGTACATTTCATTAAAGCGTGTTTTTATTTTTATTTTTTACATATTTTATTTTGGAATGCTGTGAACTCGAGTCAGGGTCCAACCCTCAGAGGCGTAGGCCGTGCAAGCACCTCACCATCGCTGGATCCCATCCTTGCAGAGTTCCAAAGACAACCTGCAATATCCCACAATCTGTTGCCTTCAGATCTTTCCCATGGTCGCCGACCTTTGAATGCCACTACGATCCGTCTAACCTGCCCTCTTCCCTCCTCCACATGTACCCAACCCACGGCAACCTATGGCTGATGGCATATACAGTGCTTTCTTGCCATGTGCTATCTGAACTTGCACATTTATTACCTAATCCTGCCATGGAATTCCAGATAATGTCCACAGATATTACAAAGCCAAGAGTTGTTTGTGCGCCATCCTCAAATGTCAATCATCTCCAATGTTGCACCATTGAACTGAAACAATAAACACGCAATGCATCAGTGATTCAATTAAAATCAATTTTGATGCTCAATATATGCATAACCCTGCACATAATTATTTATCAATATTGAAATTTGAATTCAAATCGCATTGCAGTAATATGCACCCTTAGAAAAACTAGCGAGATTGACAATATAAACGCTACGGGATATTATAATCATCGTCAGTCCGCAACGGCCGTCAGCGCTCTCCACGCTTGCCCGTCCCTCGCACGGTCCCGTCAGCATCGGCTGCGCCGGTTTATCTGTCGGTGTCATCACATTTGTCATCCAATTGATCTTGCGTCGTCCTCTCCTCCTCTCCTCCTACATGGCCTCTAAGATAAGGCGATAGAACGGGACAAAATAAATGAGCCTGAAATCTCGTGACGACCTGGAATCGTGTCAGTAGATTGGGTGATGCAGCGGTGACACTTGTGCCTCGCAGCAACAAGTGCCTGGGTTTGATTCCCAACCTCAAGCACCTTTCTGTGTGGAGTTTGTGTTCTTCCCCTGTCCTGCACTGGTTTCCTCTGGCTTCTCCAATTCCCCCCCATAACTAAACACTAGAATGTAAGTGGTCTTGGCCAATGCGCCTTAATATTGAAAAGGCATCTTACTCGGTTGGGATGATACACAGCAGCAACATCGCCCCCCATTCTGCGAAAACTTGGCAGGACCCTCCCCAAAAAGCGTTGAGACTCGGCGAGGCTTCCCTGGGTAAACAAGGGTAGCGACGATCGGCCCGCTTGGGGGGTGGCGTGGGTGGACGGTTGCTTGGCGAGCGTTAGGACGGTATGCGGCCACGCTTATCATCGCGTGGGTGTGCGACCGCACTTGTGTGGGTGTGCGACTGTGCTTTTCGTCACGTGGGTGTGCGATTGCACTTGTTGTGTGGGTGTGCGACCGTGCTTGTTGCCGCGTGGGTGTGCGACGGCGCTCGTCGTTGTGTAGGTGTGTGACCGTGCTTGTTGCCGCGTGGGTGTGCGATCGCGCTTGTTGTGTGGGTGTGCGATCGTGTTTGTCGTCGCGTGGGTGTGCGATCGCGCTTGTTGTATGGGTGTGCTACCGTGCTTGTTGCCGCGTGGGTGTGCGATCGCGCTTGTTGTGTGGGTGTGCGATCGTGCTTGTCGTCGCGTGGGTATGCGATCGCGCTCGTCGTTGTGTGGGTGTTGGGCTGCACTTGTGTGGGTGTGCGACCGCGCTCATCGTTGTGTGGGTGTACGATCGCGCTTGTTGTGTGAATGTGCGACCGCGCTCGTTGTGTAGGTGTACGCGCGGAGGGAGCGTGGCCGAGGCGCTGCAGCTGGCGGTGGTGGCGTGCGGCGCTCGCCTCGAGGAGACCATGGTCATGCTCAAGTCCGCAGCGCTCTTCAGCCGTGCACGCCTGCACGCCCACATCTTCGCAGAGGATGAACTGCACGCCAGCTTTCGGGAGCAGGTGAACGCACAGCAGGGCCGGAATGCGTGGTGCCGGCTACACCACCACCTTGTCGTGTCTGTGGTGCCGGCTACACCACCGCCTTGTCGTGTCTGTGGTTCTATCCGCACCACCGCGGTGCTGGTCACAATACATCCGTCGTGTGCCGTGTTGTCTCTTAATGACGCTCACAGCACTCGCCCGAGCAGTGCGCGAAGTTAAATGGGGAATCTTCTCCTCCAGCGTGGTGGCGTAGCCCAGTGGTAGCGCCTCTGCCGCTTGTTAGACTTTTGCGATTTGAATCCATCAGGTCACCTTGGTTACTACTGTGGGTATATTAACCGCTGTCTGATTCACGGTGGATGTTAGACATCCTCCAATATCATCCAAAATGAGGAAGCCATTGTGTGCCGGTGTCCTTATCCAAATTACCGGCAAAAACTACCGGCAAAACACTAAATTGGGATTACACAGCAACGTCGCCCCCTGATGTAAAACTATTGGAGGCTATAACAGTGAAACAGCAGCGTCTACGTGCTAGCCCTGCACTATAAGAATGGCGTAATTAGCAAATGTACTAAATTATTATTAAGTGTGGTCTTCCTGGTTTAGCCGCGTGTGGAACATCTCGTCTGCCAAGCTTTTGCTGCGCACTGCTGCGGGGATTTTCACCTCAACTCCCGAAGGCCCCACAGCAGTCCGTGGCGAAAGCTTGAGAGAAGACAGCCTCAACACGCGGCCTAGCCAGGAAGAGCTCACTCGGACTCCGAGTGGCTGTGAAAACCCCCGTTTTGTGAATGTGCGTGTGCGTTCCCCACTCATTCAGCTGCTGGCGTGGCCGTTGCGGTATCGGAGGAAGCTGTCATTCTCGCTGTACCCAATCACCTTCCCCGCCGACAACGCGGACGCCTGGAGGAAACTCTTTAAGCCCTGCGCCTCTCAACGCCTCTTCCTGCCTGTAAGGGCCTGGAGACAGGGACGCTTCGCTGCTGCGAAACCTGAAGGCGCAAGCAGCGTTGCCACGATATCACGTCTCACGATACGATATTTATTTTCATAGCAATTGGGTTTCTATATAAATAGCCAGTGCTTTGTAAAGCGGTTCTTCGCCAGAGGGCGTTTCCCAGTTCTCCTCGAACGCTAATAAAATGTATATGGATGGGCGGCTTGATGGCAACACTTACGACTAACGTCTGGTGCTTCACAGCAGGATACGCCGCTCCTGTGCCTCTCGTGAGAGCACTTAGAATTCCTGACGCCAGGCCGCTTGCGCCATGGCACGTCTACCCAGGAGTGGAGGGCGGCACTCATCTTCGTTGCCGGCCCAGTGGGGGGACGGTCGGGGTTACATCTGTAGGGGGATGACTCGTATCTGGCCACGTCACTCAGCGGTGGAGCGAGCGCCTCGCGATTGGAAGCTTGCGAGTTCAAATTCTGGTCGGAGGTCGGTTCGATGGTTCACGGGAAGAGACGATGTTTTTTGGGCTTCACTGCAGAGCGCCGGACCTGGCAGTAGGTGGCAATGTTCACCACCACACCCGGTCACAGTACAAATTATGACTCCGTTTACAACAGAATGTAAATTGGATTCGCTCAACGATTTTGGCCAAAACGTAAATATCCCACCTCATCGAGTTAGATTATAATTTGCAACACTGAGAAATATTTGTACCCGTCACGCCGTATATCGTACGACCCGGCCAGGTGGCTTGGTGGTTGAGCGAGCGGCTCGCAATCGGAAGGTTGGGTGGTTGACTTGGCCAATCATCTGCACGGATGATAAAATAACTTCCACTTACTTTGTCTACAGTGGTTGTCCTGTAGGTGGACTCACTACCTCGATGCTTATGTGAACCGGACATCACTGCGATTTTATTTGGAATTGCACGAAATAAGTAGATATCCACTCGTACAGAGATAGTTACTGCCGCTGGCACTTTGGTATCATCTCAAGAATTGTTAACCACCGCTCTTCGTGCCCCTCACAAAATTATTTTTCACACCGACCAATCATTACCGTTAAATAATTTGCAGCTGCTGCTCAAAGCTTTGCACGATTGGTCGGCTCTTACAGCATCAAGTGGTCCGGCTTCAGGGCTTGTCTTTGGTGTACCATGCCCTAGAAATGAAAGTTCTCATAGCAGCACTGCACGGCACTGCACGGCACTGCAGTTGTAATGTCCTCAGGCCTGTCCCCATTGATCACATTTAAAACACGTACAACTGAACAAGTGTTAGAATGCGTTATGAAACGTAACTCATTCTTACTGTAAAACAAGTACTGCTGCTGGAAATAATTTAAAATCGATTTAACGTCTAAATGCCCAAGCGCCACCGTATGGGAAAATAAACCAACAGCGGTTGTCATTGGACATACTTGCCCCCTGCCATAGGCATGAGGAATGTCCACCACTGGCTCAGGGCTGTAAACAGGGGACGAGGCCGCCTCGTTGCTCAAAAAGCCCCCCCCGCCCCGTCCCGCGCGCGTGGTGGTGGTGTTGCCGCAGCTGCTGCTGCCCCACGTGGGCTGGCTGCTCTACGTGGACACGGACGTGCTCTTCCTGGCGCCTGTCGACGAGCTGTGGGCGCTGCGGCGCCGCTTCGGGGCCTGGCGCCTCGCGGGCCTCGCGCCCGAGCACGAGCTGCTGCAGATCGGCTGGTACAACCGCTTCGGCCGCCACCCCTACCTGGGCCGCACGGGGGTCAACTCCGGGGTTATGCTCATGGATCTGGCAGGCCTGCGCACCGCGCAGTTTAAGGTGGGAGCCGGGATCGCTCGGTCCGGCGCCGGCCTTTCCGAATCCTTTCCAAGTAAGGTCGAGTGGGTTAATGCGTGAACTCTGTCCGTCGGTCTCCAATAGGTTCTGGGGTGGCACGGTAACTCTCGTAAAGGCGAGGCGGCGATTTAAGCTTGGGAACAACGTTGCGTCGCTGCGAGGGACCGAACCGTGTTTTGCGATCCCTCAGAATGACATGAGCGCCGTGCGGCTGGCCTGGGGCGAGATGCTGCTGCCGCTCTACAACAAGTACCGGCTGAACATCACGTGGGGTGACCAGGACCTGCTCAACATCATCTTCCACTACAACCCCGGTGAGGCCCCCGTCGAATCAGTAACGGGTGGGAGCGTGTCGCCAGACAGAGCCGCTGCGCATCGAGGGTGTCTGTCCGGTGGGGCCCGGGAGGAAACGTGGCCTCCACCCACGCGCAACCACCGTCGGACCTGTGCTTTGGCGAGTACAGCGGCGCTGCACTCGCTTTGGCATTGAAAAGAAAACCGCAGAGCGTTTTCTGAAGAGCCGCCGACAGAAGGTCGGCATACGAGGCAGCGGGCGGTGTGGTCGTTTGTAGCGTTGGCGCTCGCGGTTGCTGGGCGTGCGCCAACAGGCTCGGATGGCAGTACCGCGGGTGGTGAGCGACTGCGCCGTGTTTGTAAACATCGGAAAATCAGGTCGGTGGTGCATTTGCTCAATCCTGGCTGCTTAATCGGCAAGTTTATTTATTGATACAACTGTAGTTTATTTTTGGCCCCTCGTTTACGTTTAATTTGACCGGGTGGCGCTGTTGGAGTCGTCAACTCACAGCTGCGATGTCACCGCTGTTTGGATGATGGACCGCCAGGCGAAACGCCGGGGCCGTGTTGTCAGCAGAGGGCAGCGCAGCACGGTGAAGTATGGTCAATTAACTTCCATGACCCACGTGGTATAGGGAAGGCTTCACCCAGCAGTCGGTTGACAAAAGGATATTCATTATTAAGGGTATTATTGTTCTTATTATGCTGGTTTATCAGGAAAGCCTCTCCGAGTCAGAGGACCTTTTTCAGGAGGGTCCTGCCATGCTTTCGCAGTAGGGGGCGATGTTGCTGTTGTGTGTGATCACAACTGAGTCATTCTCAGGCACATTTTTCAGCACTGGGATGTTTTGCCCAATACCAGGGAGTCCAGAGGAAACCCATGCAGACATGGAGATAGCTTACAATCGCCACGTAGAAAGGCGGCTCAGTCAGGAACGCTGCCTGGGCCCTTCTACCCTAACCATAAACTGTATAATTGTGTCACGGAATACCTTCGCACTGCTGCGGTTTCCTCTTTAACGACGAGACGGGCATCACGACGGGCCCCCGCCTGGTTAGATAGTGGCCCGGCGCAAGGGCCGCACGGGTTGACGCGCGTCTCCCCGCGCCGCTCGCGGCCCCACAGAGATGGTGCACGTCTTCGATTGCCGCTGGAACTTCCGTCCCGACCACTGCATGTACGGCAGCAACTGCGGTGGCGCCGAGCGCGACGGCGTGGCCGTGCTGCACGGCAACCGCGGCGTGTACCACGACGGCAAGCAGCCGGCCTTCCGCGCCATCTACCAGGCGCTGCTGCACGTGCGTACCTTCTTGGCCATCACACCAGTTCACCCGCGCCACGTGCACGCTGGCAACAGGGCGCAGGGATACATTCTTTGAGGGGCATGCTCAAGCTGGGGTCCACATCGGAGCGAGCAGTTGCACAACTCTGTTGCATGCAGGTTGGTGCAGGCTCTTAAAAGGGGCCTCACCTCCCCCATTAAATGTTTCCTCCTCTTAGCCGGGTGTCAGCGCTCCTCCGGCCAGTGGCTCATGGTGCACCTGAGAGAGCTTCTTGGGGGCCTCCCTAAAGGTGAAATAGTTTTAGTGGGTGATCTAAATTGGAATTGGCTAAACCCGCCGGCCGTGGCCACAAATTTTGCAGATGAATTTAACCTGTTTCAATTAATAAATGTCCCCACAAGACCCAACCTAAAAAATCCGGGACAGTCATCTCTGCTTGACGTCCTATTGACAAATGCCCCTCACAATTTCGCACTGACTGGTGTTCTAGGTAATAACCTTAGTGATCACTCCTTCATTTTTGGGGTGAGATCATCAGCCAGACCCAAAGCCCCCCCTAAATTGGTTGAGAAGCACTCCATTAAACACTTCAGCACTCAGGCATTTACTAATGATGTGCTTCACTCGGATATTGACAAGGTCTGTGATATTCCAAACCTGACTACGGCTTGGGAGACCTTCAGGTACACGTTTCTCCAAATTCTTAACAAACATGCTCCGTTGGTTAAATTTAAAACTAAAGGCAACCGTCCACCATGGTTTGATCCTGTGATTACAAAGCTCATGAAAACTAGGGACAAGGCTTGGGCATGTGCTCAGAAAAGTAATTTGGTCAATGACTGGCTAGAATACAGGATTTTAAGGAATAGATGCGTCAAAAAATACGGCATGCAAAAAATAACTACTTCTCTTCCACTCTCCCTGAATCTCATGGAAATGCCAGGATTTTCTGGAAAACAATCAAATGTATCGAAAAGGCATCCAAAACAGATCATCTGCCCGTTCAGCTTAACCGAAATGGGGAATATTTTTCAGATCCCCAAAAAATAGTTGACAATTTTAACCTTCATTTTTCTGAAGCTAGTACCCTATTTGATAATGTATTGGGAGTCACCCATGCTCATGCAAATTCCTACACTC